AAGCGCCACTCCGTTGGCATCTGGGAGTGCCGGTCATGCAAGAAGACCATTGCTGGTGGTGCTTACACCGTCGCGTACGTCAATGATGATATCCAATTCCTCAGACGAACAATTATACTGACTGAGTCATAAAGTACCCCCGCTGCCGCTGCGACCAGGTCCACCATCCGTCGTCTGAGGGAAATCGCCGAGGTTTAAGCTGGAAGCATGGCTGGAATGAGAGGTGAAAAAGGCTTTTACGATTCGGTTCGAAACGAACCAGGCGTTCTCACTGGGACATCATCATACTCGAGGTTGTCGATGTAGAGACTCTCGGAATGACAAAATCGTATTTGAACTACAAATCTTTCCGACCTCACTCTACTACAGTGCCGTTATTGCTCAAGGCTTTGAGGCCGTGTTCAATGCACCGACCACAGGAACAGTTCCGTCGTGCCTCTCAACTCCGCCTTGTTCGCAACTCTGGGACTTTTGACACACCGTGACTGCCTGGCAATTATGACGTGCGATCGTGACACAACCCCAGAAGTCGCATATTAGTTGTACACTCATGACCAGCTTCAATCGATTTGGCATCTTGGAGAACTGAACATACATGTCTTTGCATAATTTCGCCCCGTAACTCCGTTGAGACATAGCTCAAAGCATGCCCTTTGACGCCGTTCAACACCGTCACCTGGCTGAAGCCCTTGGTTTTGAGGATTCGCCGCACGTGAGTTCCGCCCCCGGGTCCGTGCGTTGGTCCGCGTGGAGTATATATAGTCGCTGTCTCTCTCTACATCGTCAGCACCATTCCTTCGACATCTTTCCTGCCATTTGCAAGTGTTCTTCAGAACGTTTTCGTGGCCTTTTTGGCCTTCTTGCCAGCCATGGCAGAAACTTGTATCGTCTGCTTGGGCGATCTGCGATCGAGCCATAGCGACGATGTCAATCAACCATCAAGCCCCGCCAGCGACGCTTCAGAACCAGTCCGCATCCCCAGACTCACAAGGTATTCCCCCATCATGGTCTTTTTCTTATCTGCTCTTGGGGCTCGCGCCAGTCCTACGATTCGACTATGATAAGAGTCGAGTCTCCCAAAGGGAGACACGTTACGACTAGCCGGAATGAGTGAAGAGGTGAGGTCTCACTCACTCACACCATACAACCACATCTCGCCCGGTCTTGTTGTTCTTGTTCTCATGCTCCTATATGGACATCCACAAGGTCTTTTGCTTGCAGGTTTGCTGACTATACTATAGGTCAACTGCCAATACCGCTTCCGAAGCGGACGACGAGCGCATAGCACATCTCCTTCCATGCAAGCATGATCTCCACAACGGCTGTCTGAAGCCGTGGGTTGAACGCGCCAACAGCTGCCCAATATGCAGAGCTATATTTAACGAGGTGGAATTGAAAGATTTCGTTGACGGCCCGACCATCGATTCATATCCCGTGCAGGATAAAAGGCAGGAAGCTGATGTTGATCCCACACTGGTCATCGACGACTCGCTGTTCGAAGATGACGAGCCGTGCCTTATATGTGGCACTATCAACGATGCGTACGAAGTCATGTTCTGTGACGGCTGTGATCGCACTGTCCACGTTTTCTGTGCTGGCTCCCAAGAGGCACCCGACGTGTGGTATTGCCACGACTGTATCCAAGTTTTGAACACTGATGCAGATCTTCCCAATGCTGGAGGTCTGCCACATACCGCTCGTCCTCGGGCTCGACGGAGTAGGGAGCCCCGTCAGCCTCGAAGACGCCAACCACGTCGTCCCAACTCAGACTGGGCAAGGGTTTGGCAAAACGTTTGGGACAATCTGAACCTGGATCTGGATTTTCCTTTCGATGATGAGCCAGCTGAGACGCGACGTACGCCAGCCCAAAGACGTGAATTTAGCGCTTGGCAGCGCCGCTTGCGCGTCGCGACCCGTCAAGGGGCTGCTAACAGGTTCCGAGAAACAGCGCCTGCTCTGCTCGACCGTGCTCCTCCTGAACCGGAAAGTCAAGAGGAACTTCGCGCCTGGAATGCTTTCGACAAGGCAAGGGAGCTCCAAGAGACTAATGTCCCAAACAACAGACGAAAACGCACTGCTGAGACAGCGTCTCCAGCATCGCCCCGGGAGAATGTAGAGCCAGAAAGGCGTCAGAAGCGACCTCGAACGAGGAGAAATCTACCGGTTCAGGGATCATCTGCACAAGCCGAATCATCCTCTAGGGCTGTTTCCCGACCTGAAGGCCCTAGCTTTCTCACATCATTACTCAACGAGGTTGAGAAACAACCACAAAGCGATCACCCGTCTCCCTCAAGTCCAGCCGCCGACGATCTATCACCTGTGCCAATGTCTTCTCGCGAAGGGTCGCCAATTCTGTCGGGTCATGGCACTCCCCGCGCTGCTTCCGTCACTCCACCACCACTTATGCTCCCCCGTTCGTCCATCACCCCTCTCACCTCTATTGTCCGCCCACTCCCCTCACCTCCTGCTGGCGCCTTCTCTCCTTTCTCACCAGCTGACATTGATGGGTCGGACACTGACGGACCTCGCCGATCTCGAGCGCGTAACGCTTCAGGCAATGGTCCACCACATCGCGATCAGTCTCCACAGTCGCCGTCCCGTAACCTCTCCTTCTCTACGAAATCAGAGATACAACGCATGGTCAAAAATGCGCTTCGACCTCGTTACAGAGACAATGAAGTCACCAAAGATCAGTACACAGACATCAATCGAGATGTCTCTCGAATGTTATATGATCATGTTGAAGACGCCAATGATCTAGCCGACTATGATTCTAGAAATAGACTGCAGAAGTTGGCAACAGATGAAGTGCAAAAGGCGATCGATGCTTTGCAATCTTAGAATTAGCGACGGCGTTTGGGGAAACACTTGATCTGGCATGATCGTGTCTCATGAAGGTTTTTATGATGGGTTCAGGGTTGGACGATTGAACGACTTTTGCGATACCCACATGGCGACCCTTTTTGTTGCAATCATGGCTGTTTTATCTACGTAGATTACTGAAGCCGTGGAATGAATATTTTAGTGACTATGAGCTTTATTTCCGTCCATCTGATATGACGGAACAGAACTGCAAGTATATTGGTGAACCTTAATCGTGACTCCAATTTGAAGCCTTGCGATTTCGGCCTCGGCCTCGCTATCCGAGATACCAAGCAGCAAGTACATCGTTTGTGCAGGGTTATATATCTGCTATCTGCCCCACTACAGCATACTAAAATAATTTTGAAGTCCATATACATGTCAGAATGGCTCACGTCGCAATTTTAGGGTAGGTTGTCCTCCACCTAGTCTTACTAACTCGCCAGACACTAATGCATTCACAGAGCAGGAGTAATCGGCCTCCAGTGTGCCATTGATCTCCTTAACGCAGGTTATAAAGTGACCATCGTTGCCGCGCACTTCCCTGGAGATAGTAGCCCAGAATACACTTCGCCATGGTACTTTTGCATGAAGCAATCTTCTAAAGATACCAATATATTGTCCTGACCAAACTCACCCAGGGCTGGCGGTCATTGGCGCACCCACGCCTCAGCCGGGGACACAGAACAGCAAGCGTGGGACCTAGAGACATACGAGCACTGGATCAAGGAAATTGAATCAGCAAAGACTCTCCAAGATCGTAAAGCGCTAGGTCTGAAAGTCAGTGATCCTTCACTCCTCTCCCTCCGTGCCTCAACTAACGCCACCAGATGATGGACTCCTTCAGCTACTGGTATCTGACCTTTCCTCCTCTCATTTTCCTCCTCCACCATCATATCAAAGCTAACTTCCACCCAGGGACCGCGAGCCCAAAGAATCCATATGGTGGGCGCCGCACGTCCGCTCCTTCAACATCGTCCCCTCTCCCGACCTCCCCGCCCCGCTCTCTCCCAAAGTCACCGCCACATTCCGCTCCATAGCCGTCAACGCCCCGCAGTACCTCCTCCGCCTCCGCAGCACCGTCTTGGCTAGAGGAGGGACATTCATCCGCTCCCGCATCTCCTCGGCTCCTACATTCGCCGCGTCACTAGCCTCCGTTGCGGGAACAGTGAAGCGCATCACCCGCTCCCACCCGGCGGTGTGGGTCAATGCCCTCGGCCTGGGAGCGAAGGACATTGCGCATGATGACAGCATGTATCCCGTCAAAGGCCAGACGGTGCTGGTCAAAGGCGAGGCCGACGCTATCCGCACTGCGCTGTACGAAGGGGGGATCAGCTACGTAATTCCGCGGCCGGGGTCGGGGACGACGGTTTTGGGCGGGACTAACGAGGTGGGTAATGCGGATCGGAGGGTGGTGGAGGAGGTGACGGGGAGGACACTGGAGAGGACTAGGGCGTTGGCGCCGGAGCTTTGTACGGGGAAGGACGGAGGGTTTGAGGTTGTTAGTGTGCAGGTGGGATTCCGGCCGGGGAGGAAGGGAGGGGCGAGGATGGAGAGAGAGATTGTGAAGGTCGGGGATGGGGGTGAGGAGTATAGGGTTGTGCATGCTTATGGGCATGGAGGGGCTGGATATCAGAATTCGATTGGAGTAGGGAGGAGGGTGTTGGATATGGTTAGGGAGTCAGTGGGGACGAGTGAGGGCGAGGAGAAGGCAAAGCTCTAGTCGTTCGTTGCGGGTGTTTGATCAAGCTGTCTGCTCGTACTGGCGACTAGTTTTGTTGGACTAATAACCTACGTGGTTGAACGTGGTGAATGAGAAGCCTGGCAAGCACGGTTGTGTGTACAGAGTTGACGCTTTGATTCATAACGCGCTGGCTGCGGGAGTACCGCTCAATGATTTTTCTTATATATGGACACAATTTTCGTCTAGTACAGTTCTGACCACACGATTCATCTCAGAGTCATTACAAGTATAGTGCGTGGACAATTGCCTGAGAGGTAGCTTAACGAATGGATGGTCAAGCTGCTTCATTCAGGAACCCCCCCCGGCCCACACCACCTTTCGCTCCTAACCCACTCACCCCAAATTTTCTGTTACTATATATATTCTTTACTCCCGCCAAGCCGCCCCATCAGCAGGCACTTTGGCGGAGTGGCCTAACGCGCGGGCCTGCTAAGCCCGTCTCTTCGGAGGCGCAGGTTCGAATCCTGCAGGTGTCGAGAAATGAACACCCAGAAATTGGCAGTGTTCGCTCCAGCTTCCCAGAAGCTGTATACAAAGTGCTCTTTTTTTTTTTTGGTCTTTTTGGTAGTGCTTGGATATTTCACTGGAACAGCTGGACATGAGTGTCTGTATGCCCGGAAACGGGGTAACAAGGTGACTCGCTCCCCAATATCTCGTGCGGCATTTTGAGCTGGCACACAGTCCCCCGTGCCTCTTCGCAGGGATGTGTTGTGTAGCTTGTATGTTCAACTATGTCCGGCAGCTTACACCTGACCCGTGCATTGCTATGGGGATTTGATTCGACACAATCTAATTAAATCCTGAGTAGACCTTGAATGGATAGTAACACGACTAACATTCTTTGGTGGTGGTATCGATTACCAAGTGATTATATATACAATAAGCAAAAAAAAAATCGAAGAACTCCAAGCTATGCACGTTGCAACATGAGTCTTGTCCATCAGTTCCACAAGATCCGAAGGAATTGGGCGTTATTCAATTATACCATCCCTTCGCACCAACGCTGGCCTCTTCCTCAGCTCGATGGGGAATCAAGGGTTCTTTGATCTCGAATGCTTCGATGCACATCTGCCAAGTCGCATAGTCGAGGCCGAAAATCGCCTGGTGACGGGTGCTTTTCCTGGCCCTTGCTGCGTCTACAGTCTCGCTGATGACCACTAGCGTCGGCTGTCCATCATCGTCCTCTTCCACGCCAACTTCGCCCTCCTTGATAAGGAACGACACATAGAAGAGGTTTTCCACCGTCTGTCCAAAGCTACGTGGGTTGGTGACAAAGTCGAAAAGATTTGGTCCCGCCGTACCCGTGATACGATGTGCCCGAAGTGCGTCCGCTATATCTTCGTCGGTCACCGCTTCTGTATCTGGAATTGCCGCTTGCACGCCACTCCTTGCTTTTTCGCAGTGTGCTATGAGTCGTGCCTTGATCTGCTCGCAGGCGTGCCGGACAGTATTCGTCTCGCCTGCGGCCAGGTCCTCACGACGCAATTGCTCGGGAGCTACTTCAGGACGGGTGTCGGCTTGCTGGCGCGCCTTGCGTTGGGTGATGGTGCGAACACGCTTCTGTACAGAGAGTGGACCTAGCAGGAATTGAGGCACAGATGGTCGTGAGTTGTGAGGGAAACAGGCATGAGTGCCGAGGTGTGCCCAGTCTAATATATCTGCCTCATCTTCGTCGTCATCGGCATCGCGACGACGGCGTTGTGTGCCGGTCGGTCGCCGCATAAAGGAGATACATTTTGATATGAATTCGTCAACATCGACGCCGGTCGCGGTGTCGCCAAGGACGAGCTGAGCAGACTTCTTGTAAGCAACGTCTGCTACGCTGACCATCAACCGTGAGTCGGTAGTCGCGTCTGTTGTTTGTTTAATATTGTCGAAGAGCTTGTTGGCTTCGTCGATTGTGCGCTTCAAACCGTTGTTGTCTGACTTCAAATACTCGTCACGATTTTCTAGAAGGTTTCAGTCATGTTGGTCCTGTAACCAAGCTGTCAGAGCAGGGGGATACCGATAAATTCTCGCTCTAGTCGCCGTGCTTCACGCTTTAATTTGCGTCGCTCGTCTTCATCCTGGGCTTGGTCGTAGAATCGTACGCTCTTCTGCTTGGCACTGGCCGACCCATCTTCTGGCTCCCTAGCAATAGCAGTGTCAAGTCCCGTCTCATCCTCGATACCGTCGCCGTTCAGGGAAGGTGTCGGTAGCTCCTCTTCCTCGCTGTCAGCATCTCCATAGCTTAGTTCAGGCGTGGGATCAGCACGGCTGATCCTCCTGCGCTTGGAACCTCTGGCAAGCTCTTCGCGTTCGGCACTATGGCGCGGGCTGGACTCTACCGAATCTCGCAGTCGACCTTTTCCCTTAGACATCCTTGCTCGATTGTTTTCCTTCTCCGAACCGGAGGCTGGGCTGGGAAGGCGGTTGGCGACAGTCGAAGTCGCAGGAGAATTGGTTCGGCGGTCTGTTGACGATAGTGCAACCCTGCCAGCAATTGATACTGAAGAACGTGAATTTAGGCGCGCCATCGAGGTGATGAGTTTTGTGTGACCGAATCCTTCTTCAGCTGCGCCGCGGAAGACCGGGGTATTGATTCGCCAAACCCGGTGTCGCAATCGCGCTCATGCATACAAGGAGACGAGTCGAGACCAGAAGGATGCCCTCAAGATAAAATGTCAGGCCTCATGACCACGCTCGAGTGCCCTCCGGTCAGGTTTAGCCACAAGGTAGTTGTAAGGGCAAGTATCCGTGAATGAATTCGAAGTTGTTGCCGTTACACGCGCGCTGTACGTGGGGTCGGCACGCGTCAAATCAATTCCGCTCCTTTCAGTTCGGGGAAGGGGCTGACTCAGCAGACCGCAATCGCCGACCAGCAACAGCAGGTGATCTCGCCGCCAACCAGCCGCTGTTGCAAGTCAGCTGCTGTTCATATTCGAGGCGCGAGAGGTCGAATAGTGAATTTCTTGACTGTGTTGGAAAAAGCAAGACCCGCAAACTACTTCGAAATTCTTTTGATCCTTCGTGACGCATCTAGCCCGGCTAATAGGCAGGCATATAGCTCGACCTTTCGTATCGCAGCTTCCCTGGCAGAGAGGCAAGCATTTCAGCCCACGAGTTTGGGAGCATTCCACGTCGGACGTCACTTGACGGAGAAGCACCGTTCTCTTCCTCCATAGAGCCATCGTATCTGCTTGTCGATATGGTCAAGTGAAACGCTTCCGAACAGTCCTAGTTCATGGACACCTTCACCTTCGCAAGCTCGTCGGAGCTCAAATTGCCTGTCAGCGTCAAGGTTGGTCGTCTTGAAGGGTACGAGAAACCCTTGCCTTATTCGAAGCTACTGCGCCAGCCCGACCTCAGACACAGAGGCTCGAACCTGAGTCCAACCTTCGAGCTCTATGTCACTGCCCAGCTCTTCGCAGATAGCAAGCCTCTGACTGTTCACTCTCAAACTCCATACAAGCACTTCAAGACCCTGCGCGCATGGAATGAATGGCTCCAACTTCCGATAGACTACTCAACCCTTCCTTCTAATGCGCAGCTCGCCATTACTGTCTGGGATTTGTCGCCCACCGGCCCCGAGGGATCTCGAGGTCACCATATCCCATTCGGGGGCACTACAATATCGCTATTCGACGAAGACGGCGCTTTGAGGAAAGGGAGGCAGAAGTGCAAGCTGTGGAGACACAAGGCTGCCGACGGCTACAGCCATACCACCACGCCATGGACTCCACCGAAGAGCTCGCGTCGTCGTGATTATGAGGAACCCAAGGTGTACCTTGACGACAAGCATTCACGTCGCGAAGCTGAACTAGAAAGGCTGCAAGGGCTGCTCAAAAAGCATGAGATGGGCGAGATACCGGAAAACAAATGGTTGGATCAAATGGTGTTCCGTCAAATCGAGAAGATGGAGCGAGCCAATCTTAGAGACAGCTCAAGGCTGCAAGGATCACATCCCCGTAGCGAGCCGAATGGAGTCAACGTCAATGGTGACTCCTCGGAGGATTCTGATGGTCGCGATAGCCTGTTCTATCTACACATCGAATTTCCTCGCTTCGATCACCCGGTCGTCTTCACAGATCATGAGTACCCGCCTCCTCCGATATCTAGTGCCCGCCGCAGGGTTGACCAAACGGGCGAATTCCGACTCAAGCCGCCACCAGAAGTGCAGCCTGGGCCAGGTATTGATACCAAGAACCCAGGGTACGGAGACGCCGAGAGTGGCCCTCTTATAAGGATCTACGATCCGGAAGTCGGCTTCAACGACAACCCTGCTGAAGTGAAGCACCGAAGTCTGGTACGAGGACAGAGGACGGGCATGCTGGACAAACATCTAAAGCCGAATCCACGAGTGCGAGACAGACTAAATGTCATCATGTCCTACGGTCCTACTAAGGAGCTCAGCGGTGAAGAACGTGACCTGGTCTGGAAGTTCCGTCACCATCTGACAAGGGACAAGCGGGCTCTTACAAAGCTGGTCAAATCTGTTGCTTGGGGAGACGCCAATGAGGTCAGACAAGTTTCGCAGCTGCTGCCGAAGTGGGAGGAGATAGACGTGGATGACGCGCTGGAACTACTGGGTCCTCAATTCGACAATCGCGACGTCCGCACCTACGCCGTGGACCGCTTGCGCAAAGCCGACGATGACGAGCTACTGCTCTATCTGCTGCAATTAGTGCAGGCACTCAAATTTGAGCCTGATGCGAAAGCAGATGACACAGCCGCGCATGCCGACTCGTCACTGGCCGGCTTTCTTGTGGCAAGATCTGCACAAAATCTCAAGCTCGGAAATTATCTCCATTGGTATCTGATGGTGGAGCTGGACGATCGAACCAGCCAAGACGCGCAAGCACAACGATATCGCAAGTTGTATGCAAGGGTGTCGTATGATTTCATGCAGGAGCTGGAGAAGACACCCGAAGGCCAGGCACGACGAAAGACCTTGCTTAGACAAGGGGAATTCATCACTGTGCTGGCCAAGCTGTCTGAAGATGCTCGCTCATCGCGCGAAGACCGCCAACGGAAGATTGAGAAGCTTAAGAAGGCTCTTGCTGATCCGAAGAACGACATGTTAAAAATTGACCCGCCGCTGCCACTGCCTTTGGATCCGAACATCCATATCAGCGGATGTTTTCCCGACGACAGCAGTGTTTTCAAGTCATCTTTGTCACCACTTCTTGTTAACTACAAGACGGCCAAGGGGGAGAAATATCCACTGATCTTTAAAAGTGGTGACAACCTGCGCCAGGACCAGCTGGTTATGCAAATTATTTCTTTGATGGATCGACTGCTGCTCAAAGAGAACTTGAATCTTCAGCTATCACCTTACCGCATTCTCGCCACTGGCGCAGTCGCGGGGGCTGTGCAATTTGTGCCCTCGGCGCCTCTGTCAGCCATTCTCAGCTCAAGCAAATACAAAGGCTCCATACTCGAATACTTGCGTAAGAACAATCCAGCACCGCCGCCAACGTCTGCGGCCAGCAATACC